TGTTCTATGTTTTATTATCAGTTCTGGACCCTTTTTATTTACTTAATTATGAATACATATTAAATAATCATTTTCATATTGGTCTGTAGGTCTTTGGTTCTGATTGTCCTGGTTGTACGTCTACTAATTCTCTCATATGGAGGGTTGTTTCTTCAGGCATTTGTAACTCCTTTCTTGTACATGCATTTTCTGTGGGAGTGGCTTTCTGTGTGGTAATTCCATGTGTCCCGGTTGTGAAAGTGTCCCTGGTCTTGATCCTGGTAAGGTCACAGGTGTTTCAATCATCCTGGACCAGACTTTGTTAGTGTGAATTTATTTTCTGTGGCTCCCATACAGTGTACGTAATATAGGGGGACTTCAAAAAGTTCATGGAAAAATGGAATTAAAAGATAATACAAATCTTTCCATGGACATTTTGAAGACTACTTATATAAATTTGGATCCCATCTCTAGTATAGGCTTAGGGTTTGGTTTCTCCCAGTAGCTCTGTTCTTTCTTTGCACCTAAGGCTGTAGGAAGAATGTGAGCATCTTTGAGGGTTTCATGGTTTATAGGCTGGAAATGTTTTGATTTCCTTTGAATGGAAGGGACAGCTCTTGGAGAATTAAGGCTTTATGAAGGGGTCTCTGGTCTAGCTTCCCTGCCAGATATGGCCCAGTACCATCTCTTCAGTCCATGTGTGAGTATCAGAACCTTAACCCACAGCCTTTAGAGCTTCTGTTGATTGGGATTTTATGAAGCCCCAAGTGTAATAGTCACCTCTTCCCCAGCTGCATGCTGCATTCTGATTCAAATTAGAGATAGATGCTCAAGTCAGGCAATGGATCAGCATTTCACCTTTATTACAACAAAGCTATTTAGAGAACAGGGCTTGGGTTTTTGCAATAATAGAATTACAACACTCTACCTATAATCAAACTTGCCATCCAGGCACACACAGCATTAGAAAATCTAGATTCTAGTGACAAAGCCTGCCCTCTTAAGTTTGCTGTTTAACCTGAGGCATTTAACCTAGATGAGAATGCATAGATTCTACAAGTAGGTGCCTAAAAGGAAGAGCCAGAAGGAGTTGAACATGCTTAGGAGTCCATTCTAAACTCATCAACGGTTTAAATCACCCCTCTTCTCCTGAGAAGGAGTTGAGTGAATGAGTGAGACCAAGAGTATTATTACTATAACAGAAGTTGCTCCACAGAGAAACATGGGATTGGGAGGTGAGGTGGGGGGTGCTCATCCGTTCTAAGAATATCGAGGTGCTTGTGTTGCTGGCTTTCATTCTCTCTTCTCTTTCTAAAATCTGGAGTGTACCCTTTCTTTATTTTAGGCTAAACTATGTATTTAAAACTTTTTTGGGTATGTCTTATCCAGCATTTCCATGTTTGAGGTCAGGAGCTTCAGCTGACATTTTGTCAGAAGTTCTCCCAGAGACTGTTTTTCACAAAGGAAACAGGCTGTCCTATTAAGACAAGTGCTTGAAGAGAACAGATCTTCCTAGATCCCTTTCCAAGCCTTTTCTAGACCTCTGAGACTGCATAAAATAAAGTGTTTCCTAGCATTATTCTGTCCTTCAGTAACTGTAAAAAATAAACATAAGTATAAATCTCAACATACCCAAATGTATATGTTTTTTCCTCCTGAGTTTAGTAGGTAACATACTTTCAAACACATGCAATAAATACTATATGAATTTCATGTCTTATGTCTTATATCTTGCATGAGGCCATTTATACTCTCATGCTTGTCTTTATTAATTATTGCTATATAGTGATAAAGCTTCATCAAATCAAACATTTATAATGGGTCCTTGAAGATATCTGAAACTACTTCAGAACCAAAGGTTTTTTATGCAATTTCCTTTTAAGCAATAAATTTTAGTTTAAATAAAACATAGCTTTTACAAAGAAGAGATAACTTACAAGGCATTATAAAAACAGTAGGAAAGTATTCCTCTAATCGTTCATGCATTTAGTCTATGAAAATCTCACATCCCTCCTTCCACTTGTATAAAACAAAACAGAACCAGCACTGAACTGAATAAAGCAGCAACTTATTTCTGTTATGTCTAAACAACCTGCCAAAGGTGATTGTTTCCTTTCTTGGAAATTGGCATAAATGTAGAATTTGCCATCAACTTTCTCTCAAGTACAGAAAAGAGAAACATTTCAACATAGCAAAGTAAGACAAGTGGAAATTGGTATTGAACATTTACTTTGATAGGCACTGTGCAAACATA